GAATGCTGGTGGTGGATGTTGGTCAGAACCCTGGGATCAGGGATTCGATACCCAGCCTGCTCCCTGAAGAAAAAAATGAGGCTGATTGCTTCCATAAATACTAGAGTCTCAGAAGCCTTGAAAGGCAGTGCTGCACTGCCCTACAAGAGTCACTGAGTTGAAATCAAATCAGCAATACTAGATTTATTGTCACCAAAACACGAGGACTTGCACTGCAGATGCCTCTGGCTTTCCCGCCTTCTTAGAACCTGCTCATAGAACAGGGCTGGAGACCTGTTTCTGAGAGGTTTGGTCCACCAAACCATCCATTCCTGAGTCCTCACCACGACCACCAATCATCTCCTATGCTTCTGGCTCTGAAGGGGCCTCCTTCCAGCATCCTCTTCTCAGATTCATGCTTGTTGGGTGCACGGAGCGGATTTTCATTTCTCTGAGGACCCAGGAGTGCTCCATCATCCACGTGTTGCTTCGTTCATCTGTTAGGAGATGCCGCTTGTTGCCACGTCTCGTGGCTGTTACATAGAGTGCTGCGGTGAACACAGAGCTGGGAGTTGCATTGAGTGCGTGCAGGTCGTGGGCCCTGCTCTTGCCTCCTTTGGGTCTGTGCTGGATTGTTCCATAGTGTTCTTTCCGTAGTAGATGACAAATCTCTCTGGAGCAGGGAAGAGGTGAGAGAGGGCAGATGGGGAAGGATTTGTAGAGCAGGGTTCTCGGAGCTGGATCCTTGTCACAATTAGGGTATTACAACCAAAGAGAGAGGAACAAAGTTCTGGAAGATTCCTGACCTCAGTGGTGTGACAGTGGACAGAGGGATGACATCGTGGAGAGGACTCGGAACTACCAGACATGTGTGGTGCTTGGATTTTGGGGAAGGAGTGCCAGGTTGGGAAGGTTTGAGGAAATGTAACATCCTCTGGCATAGCTGAGTTTTCTCCATCCCCAGACAGCCTTCCGAGGTAGAGGTGAATTTTCCCCATTGTTGAAAGTGAAAGCCATGGGTGTCCACAGCTTGCCCGGGTCCCACGGGGGTAGCCACCCCTCACAGCGAGCCTCATGGTAAAAGATTTAATGTTGTTGTTGTTGTTGTTGTTGTGTACCAGCAAGTCAGAACTGACCCCCAGGCGTCCAGCACATTTTTCAAAGGCGGTAAATATCACGTGAGGAGCTTGCTCATCCTTCTCCAGTAGAGCAGCTGGTGGATCTGAACCGTGTACCTTTAGGTTGACAGTGCAGCACGTTACCACCAAGCAAGCAGAGCTCCACTCATAGTGTCTTGAAGAAATTCTGTCCTGAGCTTAGCCGTAGCCTCTTTTCACGTCGAGGGGCTCCGTCACCTCTCACCGAGGGTTGGGACCCTCCCTGTGCAGCTGGTCCGCAGAGAGTGGGTTTGGCAGATGCTCCCAGTGGGGATGCTTCACAAGCTCTGCTGGGAGTGGTTAATGGCCACAGCTAGAATCTGGGAGTGTCCACCGCTGGTCCACTCCTGAAGATGGAACGTGATGTCCAGATTATTTACACTTTGGACACACGTCGTTGAAGGTGGCCCCCAGGAGACTGCTTGCCAGGTTCCAGATATGAAGTTGGCTCTGCTCTGAGTTGGGGGAACTGAGTAAATGATGTGGGGAGCCTGTGGGGGAAGGCCATCACATCCACCCAGAACCCTGACTTTACAGAAATGCAGCAGGCCTGTGCCCGCAGGAAGTGGTCATGGCTTCAGTCTATTTCTGGTCCGTCTCAGCCGGAAGGCAGTGTGTAACCCACTAACCTCAGCGGTATCCCCGGGGAGGCACTGTGACGGGGACGCAGTGGCCTCAGAGCTTCCCCTTCTGGGGAGCAGCAGGCACAGAGGATCGGCCACAGGACTTCACTGTGCAGCGGGCGGGGTCTGGTGGTGGCCGAGGAAGGGGATGAGGAGGGCCATAGGCCAGGAGGACAGCTGTGCTGTGGCATGACTCGAGGTACCTGGCATACCCTCAGCCACCAGTAGACGGGCCGTCAGACAGGTGACCCTTCCTTCGGCCCCCAGCACGTTCTGACTGCACCTCACAGACTGTTTTCACAACTGAAGGGTGTGGCGATCCCGCACTGGCCAAGCCTGTCAGATCCATTTTGCTAATTCTTAACAATATTTCCAACTGTCCTAGTGCTGTTGGTGTCCAGGTAGATCTGCCTTACAGTGACCTCCACCCTCCGGTAGGTTTCTCTGCATGTGGGGCATCTTCCTTTGGATGCGGGCAGGTCTGCAGGTTCCTGGGGTTTGTGTTTGTTCCTTTAAGGTGTCCCTGTGGTGCAGTGGTTAGGCACTAACCTGTTAGCAGAGAGTCGGAGATTGAGCGCACCGTGGAAGACACACGTGGTTGTCTGCTTCCATAAGCATAACAGCCTTTGCAGTTCTGTGGGATAGAGCATGTTCTCCAAGTTTTCCATGAATTCACATCTCATAACAGTTGTTGTTATGTGCCGTCAAGTCACCTGTGATTCACAGTGACCCTATATACAACAGCTCTGAACCCTGCTCTATGCTGAGCCAACCCTGTTATCTCTGATAGCCTACTCCCATTACACCCCTGGTCGCTGACTGAATCCATCTCTTCGAGGGTCTTCCTCTCCTGCGCTGTCCCTCCACTCTCCCAAGCATGGTGTCCCTCTCCAAGAACTGGTCCCTCCTTGCAACATGTCCAAAGTATGTCAGATGAAGCTTAAGAATCCTTGCCTCCAAGGAGCACCCTGGTTTAACCCTCTCCGGGGTGAACCTGTTTGTTTTCTTAGCAGTCCATGGTATATTCAATACTCTTCTCCAGCACCACAGCTCAAAGGCATCAATTCTTCTCTCATCCCTAGTCACTGTCCATCTCTCTAAAGCATAGAAAGTAATTGCAAAGACCATGGCCTGGATCAGGCACGCCTTAGTCCCCACACTGACATCGTTGTAGTAGTAGGTTTTAATTTTCAAGCTTTAATATCATCATCCTCATCGTTTAAAAACAGAAAAGGCAGGAAAAGGAACTGGCACCGTCGTTTTAATGCTACTGTCTTGGGTAGATGACAGAACTGGCATGGCAGTGTTTGGAAAATCTCAGAAAAACAGTGGTATATCCTGGAAGTGTTCCCTTCGCCGTCATGGCACCAGGCAAGTGCAGGTGGGACTTGGAGCTGACGACAGCAGAGGCGAAGCGTGAGGTGTGGGTGCTGAGAAGCCATGGGTGTGCCTTCACCCAGCAAGGGCCCGACCTCCTGTGCTTCTCAGGCCTTGGTCCTGGAGGATTAGCCAGGTGCCATTGCTTCCTCTCTTCACTGTAGGGGAGAGTGAAGTGGCCTCGTCTTGTCCTGAGTAGTGCTGAGACGAGGACGTGTTTTAAAACAGCTTGTTCTCCGCCTTTACTCTGTAGGAGCTGGACACAGAGAAGATGGGGACACAGTCCATGTGTCGTATCATCAGCGGCTCTGTCACTCCAGTTCCTGATAACAATCGGGCTCACTTTCCTCCCTCTTTGATTTCGTATTTAATGACCAGTATTTTTCTAGGCAAAGGGTCCAGGTGAATCTCTTCTATTGAGAGTTGCGAGTTTAGACATTCTGATTGAATAGCTGCAAGGATGCATATTACAGTCCTTTAAATGACAGTATCTTTGTGCAGGACAATATATTCATAGTGTCCTGATTACTGGTGTGGTGTGTTATTAAGTTTTTGAATGCATATTTTATTTTGTGATTTCCGTTTAGAAACTACTTTATAGTCCTTATAATTGGAAAGATGACCAAAAAGCAAGTTTTTCTTTATTAAGTGTTCCCTCCACTCACGTGATGTGTCTAGGATCTGATTACTAATGTTCCTTCATTTCCGTTGTTGCTGCTTCACCCTGGGGGTGTGGTCCTCCATGCCAGCACTTCTCTGGAATGTTCTGTGAGCCTAAGGAGCTGTCTGCATGTCCTGTGGGCGTTTCTTGCTAGGATAACTGCTTTTTCCTTGCATGCTTTGGCTCTGATCTGCTGGACGGTGTGTTGAAGCTTAGCCCATGTGAATGTGCAAGTTCACCTGCACCATCGAAGCCAGGCTGGGCCTGCTGGGTCCTCTCTCATCCCCAAATACGGTGACAGCTGGACATCCGGCAGCCCCTCCCTCCCCCTGCGTTGCTGTTGCTGCCTGATGTGAGGTTTAGTCCTGAGCTTCCCATCTTCCTGTGACCCCTCCTGCCATCTAAGATTGATAAAGCCGGGATTAGAGCCTCCAGTCCCCGCCTCCCTCTGCCACACGCTTGACTTGAATGAGGTGGCGAGGCTACTTCCAGGCCACGGTCACTATCATGGTCACTAATGGCAGGAACCTGTGGCTGATACCCCTCGTGGAGCCCATGTCTCTGGACACCCTGGAAGCCGGTCCGGATGGTTCCTGTTTAGTCTGCCTGTCGTATTTCATTTGCTTGCTGTGTGCCGTGGATTAATGTTTCATCAAGGTGGATTAGGATGGACCTGGCGGGGGCTGCATCTCCTTCCCTGCTGTCATAGCCTGGTGGGGGGTTGGGGGGCTTGTCCTGAAATACCTGGGGGTGGGGGCCTAGGGAGCTGCAGCTGTGGGGAGAAGGAATCCAGGAGGGTGCAAATCAGGAGACCTGTATGGAGCAGGCAGGGGCATTCTATCAGCCTGGCACCCTGTCACATGGACAAAAGCTTTGGTGGCTTTATTTAGCTCCTAATCCGCACGCCCAGCGCCAGGTCCATGTGAGGCGGCTGGGCAGGAAGGGGGAGCCCGGTGTAGGCACCCCATCTGGGGACTGAGCCGCCCAGCAGAGCCTTCCGGCCGCCGTGAGGAACAAGGCCTGTCAGCACGCGTCTACTAAGGTTTCAGACCATTAATAATTAAGGCTGCCCGCTGAAAGAGGACACCAGCCGGTGGCCCCTGCCCTGTGCCCCCTGCCCCCCAGCTCTGCGGGGCTTTTGGATGGCTGTAACTGAAGACTAAGACAGAGGCTGCCTCTCCGCCTGGCGCACGTCCGTTTCCAATGCCGGTTCCAAGCAGGCCTTTGAACATCGGCCGTTCTCAGAGCTGGGACGCTGCCGGGTGGTACGAGGGTCCCTGGGGGGGTGTCGAGGAGCCCAGGCCCCCGGGCCGTCGAGGCTCACTGACACCCGGGCCCGAAGGCGCCTGGTATGAGCCAGACCCCAGGGTGAGGGGTGCGCCGGCCCGGGAGCCCTACCTGTACCGGGAGGCCAGCTCGGGCGCCCTGGGTCGGAAGGGCTCGGTCCCCGACTTCACCTTCTACGACAGCAGGCAGGCGGTGATGGCCACCCGGCCCGCCGTGCCACCTCGGGACTACTTCGGCGATCCATCTGTGGCTGCCCAGGTGCCCAGAGAGCCTCCCTACTTCCGGGACCCTGGGGTGAGCCGGCCGATGCCCAGTTACGGGGTGCTGGGCAGCCGAGTGGCTTGGGATCAAGTGTCCAGCCCTTTCCTGCAGGACGCAGGTCACTTGTTCCGGGAGCTTGGTGGGAAGGTGATGTCCCCAGGGCCATGGACACAGAGCAGGACCACGACTGCCCGGCGCTTTGGAGCAGAGCTCCCCGAGGCCAGGTATGGGGCAGAGGCAGGCGCCTACCCCACCAGCCAGGTCTACAACGAAGTTGGGGATCGATCTGGGGACCCGGGCCTGGCCCGGCAGGCAGCCCCAGCATGCCTGGTGGTGGACCCTGGAACAGCTGCTCCCACCAACGGCGGCTCAGGAACAACCCCCAGTGGTCCCGTTCACACCTTTGGCCCCTCGCGGGAAAGCTGTCACCCTAAGATGACTTCTGACAACTGTGATGCGGCCCTGCCCCCGTTCCCGGGGCCCAGCCCCAGGAGGAGCATCCAGCCTGAGTTCCTGGCCCTGCTGCGCGCCGAGGGCCTGGCAGAGGGCACGCTGGCCGCTCTCCTGCAGCAAGGCTTCGACTGCCCCGCTGTCCTGGCCACGCTGGAGGATGCAGACATCAAGGCCGTGGCGCCCAACCTGGGCCAGGCGCGCGTCCTCAGCCGGCTGGCCAGCAGCTGCCGGGCAGAAGCGCAGCTGTGGCGCCAGGAGCGGGCGGGCGCCCTGCCCCGTGTGCGCTCCAGCAGCTTCAACCACCGCCAGGAGCCGCTGCGCGCAGACCTCGGTGCTGGCACCCCGCAGCCTCAGCCCCTGGGGCCCCTGCAGGTGGCTTCCCCGCGAGTTGCAGACCTGGCCCGACGCCCCTCGAGTGCACCATCCCAGCACCTCCTGGAGACGGCAGCCACCTACTCTGCCCCTGGGGTGGGCGTCCAGACACCCCATCTCCCCACCAACTCTGGATACAGTTCTCCCACCCCTTGCGCCCTCACAGCACGGCTGGGGCCCTCGTACCCCCAACAGGCGGGGATGGCCTTGACTAACCCAGGCCCGGCCAGCCCCTTTCACCAGGGCCCCAGGACCGCCTACTCCACCGCGTACACCGTGCCCATGGAGCTGATGAAACGCGAGCGCAGTGCGGCCGCATCCCCTCTGCCCAGCCCCCATGGCAGCCCCCAGCTCTTGCGCAAGCCCGGGGGCCCCCTGGAGGCACCCCCCAGCCACAGCCTGCACACGCCGCATGCGCCCTACCAGAAGGTGGCCCGGCGGACAGGCGCGCCCATCATCGTCTCCACCATGCTCGGCCCTGAACCAAGTAATGCCCCTTCCGGGGCTGGGCGGGGCCAAGGGAGGGTGGGGCCAAGAGAGAGTTTGGCTGTGGAGAAGGTGGTCCTAGGAGGTGTGTAAATCCATCTAAACCAGCCTGGTGGGGTACTGCAGGCAAACACGCACATACACTCAACACCCATCATGTACACCACATACACACACAGACCCTTACTCACAGCACACAACGTCTACCACCCATGTGTAAACACTCCTACACGCCAGAACACCACCCTCTATACGTGTAGGGCAGATAAATACTGATCATAACGTACACATAGACCCTTACAGCACACACCATCCTACACACAGCTGCCATAAGTGTGTGTACATTCCCACACACGACATAACACACCGTATACAATACCCATTACATACCCCTAAGTACAACACTGATCATACAAATGCACACACCTGTACTGTACATGTCATACATACAGCATAACAACACACTCTTCTGCATCCCACACCCACCAGACCCATCACCATACACACAGTATAACACAATGCACACAAATCATACCTTCCGTATCCATTCCTCCCCTTCAGGTTGTTATACACACATCACCTAGCATCCCCACACAGGTGATAGACTCAACCTTACACATGGCAAACACACAGATTATCCTTTCATCTGCCGGACCCACCCCCACAGATTTCACACACCATACAGGAACATGGACCCCTACTTACCACATGTTTCTACACAGCAGTATCCTACCCGTTACACATGAAACACAATGTAACACAACGTACGTACAACCTGTAAACTTCTAAGACCTAGCAAACAGGCCCAGCACCACCACAAAACACCATGTACCTAGCACGTTGTACATGCGAGCACCTCTCTCCCCAACACATTACGTGTCACCCAGAGTCAGAGGACCACAAACATACCTTCACATGCACATACACCCCACCCAGAAAGGGGAAATGCTGAAGCAGGTTCCAGGTGGATGGGTGGAACGGTTCTCAGGGGTGGAAGGAGCATCCTCGGCCTACTCTTCCTGTCAGGAGTGCTGAGACAGGGCTGCATTGCAGAGGGGAACAGGGAAGTTGGGACACACAGATGCTCTCAGCTTGGGAGGGTGATGTTTTCTGTCCTTCACCTTCCTGGGGTGGCCTTGGAAAAACAGGACAGGTTTCCGAAACGCCTCTGTAAATTGTGTGTGTGAGTGCATCCACACGCAGTAACAGGCCGAGATGATCGCTGAGGGAACACGGTGTGCACTTTCCATACGTGTGTGTGCAACAACACAAGATGTTGGAATCCCTCTGAACGCCATGTTTCAAAAACAGGCTTAGCCTCTCGTTGGAAACTACAGTTGGGAATTCTGCGTGGCTGCAAGAGGGATGTATCTTTCCAAGTGGAGCAAAGATGTAGGTCTAGTTGGTGTTGTTCACAGCCCGCCCTCCGTGGTCGTGGAAAACTGGAGCAACAGCCTCCTCACAGCCCAAACTGACTTGTTTTTATCTACTCTGGAGTCGTTACTAAAAATTTAAAATGTAATGGTTTTCTCCTTTCAAACTTGCTTTCTTCCTCTTTGCGGCCCCAGATAATCCTTTGTAAGTGAGGGGGTGTTTGGTATGTTTTGGTTGTGTTGCTTTGATCTGGGTTTGTTTTGGTTTTGTTGTTGTTGCATAGCCAATGTTATATACCTGTTAATGGTGAGGTTAAGAATCATGCAGTGAGCTATTCACCCTTCTGAATGCCACCCTACTGGCTGTTCTTCTGAGTGGGATGTTGGGAGGAAGATGGTCCACTCTTGGCAACGCGTTCAGTTGTGCTGTAAGATTATGGCAGGGACACTGGGGGATTTTACCAATAGACTGAAATGTCAGTGTGTCTTTCCAAGGCTGACCTCCATGGACTCACCTCTTCTTTCCAAAGGGGTGGTGAGCTGAGGATTTTCCTGCCATCTAAACTCTGATTCTTATGCATGGGGTTTTTTGTTTTGTGTTGTTTTTTTTTTTGTTTGTTTGTTTTTTTTGTTTTTTTTTTAAAGACCATACGATTTCTTTGAGGATGGTCTGTAATCAGCGTACAGCAGGGCAGGTTTTCTGCGGGGCCCCCCGACTTCTCCCTCGTGAGTCAAACATTCCTCCTTTGCAGGCAAACTCATTTGCATGGCGATGACATTTGTTGCTCCAGTAATTTCATCTGATAATGACCAAGCTTGCAAAGCGGATCTGAAAACATATTCCTTAATTATGTGTTGCTAAGCAACCGGAGGGTTTGGTCATAATCACAGAAAAGCTTATCTCCTGCTGAAGTCGGGGAAGGTGGTGTTGGGGGGACGGCGACATTCCTCCTTTTTCACTATTTGTTTTCCACCGCCCGCTGACAGGCGTGTTGTGACTTAGGTGTGAGGTGAGGGGTGGGATTTAAGCCATGTGGAGGATGAGTCCTAGCGCTGTTTTGCCGACCAACGAGGTTGAGCTTGCTTTGCTGTATGGCTGGAAGCCAGTGCCAAGGACGGCTGTGGAGTCGCGTCTGCCAGCAAGCGTGTTCTCCATTGGGAGCCTGTCCTGCGGCGGCAGTTGCCACCCTCGTGCCTTTCTGTGTGTCATCTCAATGCTCACCCCACAGTGGGGAATGGTGGGTGCCATGCCGGGGCCTCTGGAAGGCAGGTCCGGCAGAACAGAGGACGCACAGGGCCCGAGTCCTTCCTCCAGGGAAGTACTGTGTGTGTTCCATAAACGCTCCATAGAGCCGACTGGGCACTCCGCAGCAAGATGGCCATCTCTCTGTCTGCCCATGCTCAGTACTTCCACCTGGTGGGGAGGAAATGGCATTTGGGGGGCTACCCTGTGCCCCTACGAGAGATGTTGCAAGTGGGGTTTGCCGTTTATTCTAACCGCCTGGTTATGATGTTAGGTAATTGGATCGCTCTGCGCTGGGGGCTCTGATCATGTCGATGGTGGCTTCCCACGAAAAGAGAGCAAAGGCCCATGGTCAACTTTCTGTAGAGACCCCAGGGTGGCCCACTTCCTCGGAGCAGCAGCCATCTGGGGGCTCCACATCAGGCCACAGTCCGGGGAGGAGGCGTCACTGTGCTGACTGGCGGTGGCCTCACCCTGTCATCAGGGGCTCGAGCCGGCAGAGCCTTCTTACCAAGCAGCGGGACCATGGTCATCGTCCAGTGCTTGTCCTTTCTAAATAATAGTTTCCCTAAATTGTTAGGAAGTTTCATTTTTTGGGTTTGTACCATCCAATGGGAACCAACTCACAGCTGACCCTCCCGTGGGTTTTCAGAGGCCATGCTCCCCAGCCAAAGGTGGGTGACTCTACTCCACGGCCCTCAGGCCTGCTTTTAATTGTTTTTGATGAAACATTCTTCTAGGTCATGTAACCCTGGTCTGTCCACTTGCCGTACAGAGGTAACTCGTGGTTGCTGTGAAGTCGAACACTGTGACACCGATGAGTCAAATGTGTTAATGGTCACCCATGGTGGACAGTGTTTGGTGAAGCTCCCCGATTAAAACAAGCTTGGAAGAAGTGGCGTCCACTTCCGTAATAGCTTGCCTCCGGAAACCCTATGAACCTGGAGAAAGGATGAAAGCTATACAGGAGGTGTCCAGGACTTTGGTTCACAGGGTCGTTATGAGTCACCTCTGACTCGACAGCACTTAACAACAACAACAACAAATTGTTAGGAGAGACAGGGGCCCCCTACTGCAGACGGCACTTTCTCAGTCTCCAGAGGACGGTTGGAAGTCTGCAGAACTCAACATAAGTACCCGAGTCATGGCGCTTGAGCTGGGCATTAGGGGAAACTCTTCTGTCTTGCTGAGTCAGCATGGGACCCTCACCACCTCGCTCTGCTTCTGAAGTGACGCTTGCTCCTCTCCACACTAGATGGACAGGTTCCAGTCATCCGCTGGGCATGAGTCCTTGAAAGTCTTCTACTCACCTTGGGTCTTGGCATCGCAGTTATGAAGACTTCCTGGTGTGTTTTTTGTTTTGTTTTGGTTTTGGGGTTTTTTGGTTGTTTTGTTTTGTTTTTCATGTGTACAGTCAAATCAGATCTGACTGGTACAGGAGGAGATTGCCCCTCCTTCTCCAGCAGAGCATCTGGTGGATTTGAACCATGCACCTCTGAGATTACAGTGCAGCTTCTTGCTACTAGGCCACCAGAGCTCCCTAAGACTTCCTGGTTTTTTATATCAGATCTGTGATTTGCAGAAATAGACCCGAGTTTTTGGTACCTTGAAGATACTAAGTTTGTTTGTACTACGAGGGGTGTTTTGTTTTTTGTTGTTGTTGTTGTTGTTGTTGTTTTTGCGGGGGGACGGGGGGATGTTTTTTATTATTTTGTGTATGTGTACTGTCAAATTGGATCTGACTGGTACAGGAGAAAATTGTCCCTCCTTCTCCAGCAGAGCATCTGGCCTATGAGGGCTTTTTCTGGTTTGATTTTACATATTAGAGGTTTGTGGCAACCCCTGCATTCAGAAAATCTAAATCTACGTTCACCATATTTCCACAGTACCTGCTTCCTGCATTTCTCTGTCACCTGCCACCATGCACACTTAGAAGACTGGTATAATGGAAACAACCTCTGCACACACTAGGGAACAAGTTGCAGTGTTCTCCTGTGAAGGTTATTTTTACAGTGATCTGGGGTCGAACCTGCGATACTTCTAGGTGGGCTGCCACTGTCTCCCAGTCTTTGGGTAATTATTACTCCCAATTCTGTCCTTTAAAACATGAATGTTATGGGGAGCTCTGGTGGCCTAGTGGCAAGAAGCTGCACTGCAATCCCAGAGATAGACGGTTGGAATCCACCAGATGCTCTGCCGGAGAAGGGGGCGCAATCTCCTCCTGTACCAGTCAGATCTGATTTGATGGTACACACACAAAATCATAAAACAAACAAACAAACAAAAAATTTAAAAAATGAACGTTACACACTTCAGTGATACCTAGTTTCTCTCTTCTGTCTCCCAGTCTTTTGGTGTCTTTATGACAAGCTCTCGTCACACCAG